GTGTGGCATCAGAAGCCACCTGACCGGGTTCTAGTGCCTTCTCCTCCCACCAGCTCAAGTCCACCTCTCAGAGGTGTCCTGTCCCAGTCTGTCAGCGGAAGGCAGTGGCTGCTGCTTTCCCAGCCTCTGCAGCTTTGAACCTGGAGGCACCCCCCCACCCCCAAGTTACTATGTCTCTGACTGCCTCTGCCTTCAGGACTCTCACACTGGGCTGTGTGATCACCTTTGATCTCCATATCCCCAGGTAGACACACTTGAATGAATAATGAAACGACCTTACTGGGGGGCTTTAATAAGGGTTATTATTAAATAGAGCTTAAATTCGTGGAGAATGCTTGCGTGCCAGTCACTGTTCAAAGCTGACTACAACAGCTCCTTAGATTCAGAACACTGTGATATCTGATCACAAGTTTGCAGAACAGGAAATGCTATGGCTAAGACCACACAGCTGGAAAGAGACAGATGTGGTTCTCAAACCCACATCTTTCTGGCACCAATGCCTTGTCCTTAACGACAATGTGTATTCTGCCCAGCGCCAGGCGTGCTTACTAAATGTTGCTTCTCTGGTAAGTGATCTCTAGCCCCTGGCTCCCGGGGAGGCCTCTCCCAGCTCCCTTCCCCAAAGCCCAGCGAGTGTGCCGCTCCTGTGGGCTTGGTTTGAATGATCATCATGGGCCAGTGTTCTTCACCTGAACTGTGGGCTCCTGTGGGCTGTGTATATGCCACACAGCCTTCTAGCCTCTGCAACACCCCAGCATCTCAGACACTGATGGAACAAGGGTCCCCCAGGCACAGAGGAGGGGGTGGAAGACAAGGCAGCCTGGCTCTGGCCTCAACACTTCTGGGGGTGCCCTCCCCAGGGCCTTCATGGTCAAAGGTAGAATTCGTCAGCCCTAGTGGCCAGCTGGCTGCAGGAATGAGATCTGGAGGAATTCTTAGATTCCTCAGTGTTGACCTCCCGAGGCTGAGGATGGAGGAACAGGCGTGTCTGTAAATGTGAGAAGATCTTGAATGTGCTGAGCTTGAGCTGAGCACTTGGTGTTTCTGTTGTAGAGAAATAAGGGCTTTCTCTCTTTCCCAGAGTCCCTGCCGCTGGCTCCTCGGCAGAAATCTTTAGGGAAACTGGCTTCCAGGTGGTCAGACTGGGGTTGCCCATGATTAAGGGAGGATGGGTGAGGCACAGCCAGAATCGAGGAGAGGTAGAGCTTGGAGGTCCCATGAGCGTGGGCAGCGCTTCTTTAGCCAACACCCGGGTCAGCCGGGAGCTCCCACACTCCGCCTGGCCCCCAGCCGTTCCTGTCCCCACCGGGAGCCCAGAAGCCAGGAATTCAAAGTGCAACGGAAAGGATCCATTAGCGCTGTGAAGCACACGCGCTCTGCTCACGTGACCTCCAGGTCCTGCCAGAGAGGTGACTTTGAGAAGTCAGGTATCTTGGATGTTCATTGGAGGGCTACAAATAGTACGTTAGGCCTTCTGCCGCTCACTGTCACGATGTAAAAATGCTTCCTAAGTTCTTGTTTACACACTGACAACTGGTATATCAATTTCAAGTAATTCTTATCTTTTCATTCTAGCAGAGTCCCTAAAGCCTATTATTAGGCACCATTTGATTAACCCAGTTTGATTCATTGTAGGCACTTTCAAAGGAGACCAAATTTAAGCTAATTTCCCTAAAGAAATACCACTTCTTTTTCATTAACTAGAATCTTAATGGGTAATTCAATTGGGAAGGTTAAGCATTTGTTAATTTAAGAAAATCTCTGTGCCTTGATGACAATTGTTCTGTGGAAATAGTGAATGAGACTAGGTTCCTGCTTGACAAAATTTGTCACTTATGTTTCTGAAATTCCACCAGACTGTTTCTCTCTGGGGGCAGGCTGAGGGACTTAAAGATAGTGCAAAAGAAATCTGTAGAACAGTGGCTACACTGACAGAGGTTGGCAGCTGTTCACTCTGGTGAGGACTAGAAGGCTTATTGCTGAGGACTGTTCATTTTTTAAAAAACATTTATTTATGTGTACAGAACTGGGGTATGGGCCAGAGGTGCAGGGGCAGTGAGAGGCTTCACCAGAGACAGAATGGGGAGCAGAACAGGCAGATGGATGAAGTACACCGCTGAGGGGAGCAGTGGGCGGGTCAGGAGAGGTCTGCTGTGCCATGTGGGTCAGCTCTAAGGTGGGGATCGAACTCATGCAGAAGTGGCTTTAGCTTCTTAGTGCTGTGCTTTAACCCGCTGCACCACCAGGGAGGGCCCAGACTGTTCATTTTTACCAGGTCATGAGTCTCAACCTCAGTTTCCAATGTGTGTGGCCAAGGAAGAGGACTCACCCTAAAAAATATGTCCCAGAACCTTAGTTCCTGAGTAGAAGATGGTGGCCTTTCTTGGCCAGCCCAAGGAGGAAGCCAAGGGAAGGTGCTGAGGGTGGGGTTGGGGGCACAGAGGAAGTGAGCCAGAGGGGACATGTCCCTGGATTGAGTAGGTGGGTCTTTTCAGGTGCTCTGAAGGGAATAAAGGTAGATTTGAGAGCCAAGGCATTACAGCTTGGTGTAGGGCCATGAGTTAAAGGAAGCTAAGAGCGACGGAAATGGCGGTGGTATTCCTCTCCAGCCCTCCAAGTAGGTGAAGCAAACTCAACCCTGACATTCCCACAAACATACCAAAGTGTGACTCCCCAAAGAGGCAGCCCTGACTGGCTGTTTAGTTAGGACAAACAGGCCCGCTCTCTGCACCCCCAACCCATAGGCAGAACTTCTGGAGAAGCTCGGGCCAGAACATAGACCCTCCTGTTCAGGAGCAAGTCAGGAGGCCAGGGGTCCGGGTGATGGCCAGCGAGGCCCAGCGATGTGTAGCATGAGTGAAGGGTGGGAGACCCTGGTTGGTAAAACTGGGTCAAGTCCATCATCAGGGCCTCCCACAGTTGAACGGGGACTGGAATGTATCCAGCTCTGAATCCTCAGACTTCTGTAATGATCCTGAAATTTTTAATTTGCTACCAGTTAGCCCAAAGCAGTTGGAATTAATAGTCTTTAGTAGATGTTTGTGGTCCATTCAAATGCTAGCACCTGATTCATCCCAGTGAATCCTTATGTAAGCAATCCAAGATTTCTGTCCTTAATTCTCCACCCAACTTCTCCCCACAGCAAGCCTGTTTTGGGGGAATAGTGTCCCAAAAGAAGGCAACCAGTTTCTTTTCCTTTGACTGTCCAGTTTTAGGATACCCAGTCTTCTTTGGGAGTCCTCCCCCTCCCCCCCCCCAGCATCCTCAGAGTTGGAGGTAGATGCCAGGATCCCATTTGCCTGAGGGAAGGGGCGTGCAGTAGGGAACATGCTAGCTGGCAAGGAAGTTGCAGTGTCTGACACCAGTCACCCCTATTCCCCACATGGCCCCTGTCCCCCAGAGAGGAGGCAGGGGTTAGGGAGGGGAAACTCACAATTTCCAGCAGTGCTAGGGACAGGAGGAACTATGTTAATTGCAAGGGAGAGGGATATCTGATTGAGTGGGTAAACTGAACAGTGGATTAAGTGCCACGGAATTCTCTTCCTCTGAGCCCTGCAAGGATTTCTGTGGCATCGGGTCTTCACCCCGCCTGGAGATCCAGTCCTTTTTGTTTTCCTTTGTAATGGTGAGAAGAGCAGCCTCCTCTCACCTGGTGACCCTGCCTGAGGATGGTGCCCACCGCTTTGGGACCCGCTCCCTGCAGTCCGTGGAAGCCCCGCCCCTGGGGGGTGTCTGGACCACTGAGGGGAAGAGGCAGGGGCCGAGGCCCCTTCCCCCTGCGTGGTCATCGAGGACACTCTTGTAGCACCCAGTCTTTATTCATTTTTTAAAAAAAGAAATCCAAATAAGTTAGCAAAAAAGTTACAAAACAATGGCAAAACCACACTATGCTTAGTTAACAAAAGAAATCACCCCAAGAACTCCCGCCCCTCCCCCTGCCTGTCCCTGGCCAATTCAGCACAGGAGACCTTGGTCAGATGGCAGCTTTACAAACAACACACAAAACAAACAAAACATAAAAGCACTGGAAGGTTCCCAATATTCACTGCAGAAAGCTTGGCCCCCGGGACTTGGGAACAGGATAGTTCCTCTGCCCTTCTTCTCTGGATTCAGGGCAGGCCCAGCCGGCCGCTGGCACCAGGAAGAGGCAAGAACAGGTGTCCCCTGTTTGTCCGGTCCGGACACTGTCTTTGTATCCCAAACTTTCTGTCGAGGGGTGGGATTGGAGGCCGAGGCTGCCTTTGGGTCAAAGGGGAGCTCCTGAGTTTGCCCCTGAACCAGGGGAACCAGGGGTGTACACGAGGGGGCGCTCTGGCTCCCTGCTTTAGCTCCCTGGAAACATCAACCCCTCTGCTTGGCTGGAGGAGTTAGCTAATTGAAAACATCTACCCCCCTCTGGGCGGTAGGTTGACTTTCGACAGATGAGGAGAGGGTAGTCTGACATATGGCAGCCCCAGGGCAGGCTTCCTGGCATCGAACAGCCTGGCTTAGGAGGCCCCCTGCAGAAGTGGTGGCATCTGTGGCCAGCCTGGGGCGCTCACAGATGCCGGGACTGGCGGATAATCTCAGTTGGGCATGGTTTCATCTGGGAAGGCCACGGAGACATCCTCCACCGTGATGCTGTCCACGATGGACGTGAGGGAGTGCAGGTTGTGGGCGTCCGTAGGGTCAGCTGTGAGCAGGTGATCTAGAGGCAGAACGGGGAGAACGTTACTTGTGCAGTGAAGGGGGACTTGAGGCCCAGGATAGGGGTGAGCCCTTGGGGGTAGATTTGGCATTCCAAGATGGATAGATGAGCGGAACTCGGGAGTCCTACTCCCCAGCTTCCCTAATGCCATGTGTGTCTATGCACATGTGTGTGTGTGTCCCCTACAGCCCCCCTAATGGGCTCAGGATTTGGAAGCAGCTGCTCCGAGGTGGAGTGAGGGTGATGTACCCTCAGACACTGGAACTACTCTTTGCTGGCCCAGTTTTGCAGCTCTGACTCCACAATTCCCGGGGACCCCTGGGGCAGCAGGGACATTCTCCTCCATGGCAGTCAGTGACCAGCCTGGGATCTGGAAGAGGCCCGGACCACTCTTAGCTGGCCAGGACTCCAGGGAGTCCACAGGACTGGGGCAGGGAGGAAGGTGAGAGAGGAGAAGTGGGCAGAGACAAGCTGAGAGGCTGGCCTCAAAGTGCAGCTTCACTTACCCCCTGGGTTGGGGCCGAACTCCAGTGCACTTCCCCACTCTGGACTGCAGGAGGCGCTGTGAGAGCTGCATTCACTGGGCACCTGCAAGACAAGGCCAAGGCCCAAGGTCAGGGCTCAGCCATTCTTCGTGGTGTCTCTCTGTCCAGTTCCAGTGAGCGGAAGTAACCATGTGGGGTTGGCGGGTGACCTGCAGGCTGTAGCCCTTCAGCCCAGGCCACCCCTGGGCCCCGACTCTTGACAATCAGCTCCCTCATGCTCCCATCCGGCCACAGAGCCCCAGCTTCCGGGCCTTCATCAGAGGAGGTGTACGAGGCATCTCCTGCCCTCCCCTGAAAAGGCGTCTCTGTTGCTCCTCTGTTATCTGTTTTCCCTGAACACCTGTCCCCACCGAGCCCCACCATGGGTCTGGCGGCTGTCTATGGGCCCCCCGTGTCCCCAAGCCGGGCAGGTGGCCACTTAAGGAGGCGGAGTGTCTGTCCCAACCAGGGCGATTTCTGCACACACCTCCTGGGGTTTCACAAGCCAGCAGAGTGGGTTTTCTCTCTGCTCGGTCACAACCAGGATGGGGTAGGATGGGGGACAAAGGTCCGTGGGCTCTCTCTTGCCCTCTGGGATGGGTCCCCAGTCCTGAAATGAAGCCTCAGCACCCCTGGCTGACTCTGCCTGGCCTCCCGAACCCCCCTCCAGTCCTGTGCCATCTCTGCCACTCTGCAGACTTCCCTGGCCTGGAAGGGACCCAGGAGGTCAGCTGGACAGCCCAGCCTGCGGGGGCCCTGCCTGGCACCTGCTCCCACCGAGCCCCGCTGTGGGGCTGGCGGCTGTCTAGGGGCCCCGTGCCCCCAAGCCGGGCAGGTGGTGGGTGGCCACTTACCCCCGGCTGGGGCCCGCCCCCGCCCGTGTAGCGGAGGTCACGCTCCTCCTGGTTGAGGGAGCTGAGCAGGGCCTGCAGGCGCTCGATGTACTGGATGGCGCTGCGCAGAATCTCCACCTTGGGCAGCCGCTGGTTGGGGTTGAGCAGGGTGCTCCTCTTGAGGGCCTCGAAGGCCTCGTTCACCTTCTTCAGCCTGCGCTTCTCCCGCAGCGTGGCCGCCCGCCGCCGGTCCACGGACACAGACTTCCTCTTACACACCTTACACGCCCACGGCAGGCACTGGCCCGGGCAGTGCTCCGGGGTCCCCAGCCCCTTGTCTTCAAGGGGCCCTCGGGCCTCGGGGCTCAGGCTGAGCTCAGTCCGCTCGTAGCCGGCCGGCTCGAAGCCCTGGAGGTGGACCGGCAGGTAGTTCTCCCCGTCATAGAAGTGGGGCTCCTGGTAGAAGTAGGGGGATGTCTCATACAGCTCCATGGGGTCGGAAAAGACTTGTTCCTGCCACCAGCCCCCAAGCTCCTGCAGCCCCTCACGCCAACTGCTGGGTGCCATTTAAACCCTCCCCGCTGGCATGGAACCAGAGATAAATATAGCCAAGCCTCGGAAACCTGAGCCCCTCTAAGCTGTTGCTGCACATCAAGACGTTTACAGTGGATTAGATGTGATTCCCCTTCTCTCTCTCCCCGGCCCCCACCCCAACCAGCCCGCCTGCCCTGGCCGGGGCAGGCTCCTGAGCATGGGTAGGGAGGCCGTGGGCTGTAATTTGATTAGTTTTCATTTCTCAGCCGCCCCTGTGGGACAGGGGAGGTGGGGGAGGACACACATTCTCTTCTCATCTGCTCCCTTCAATTACTCCTCCCAGGCTTGGCACAGGGCGGCCAGCCCTCCCTTTGCTCGTCCCAAAGAAGTAGGGTGAGGAGAAGGAGGGACAAGAAAGGGTGGGTTTAGGTGACCAGGGCTTCTGAAGGCTCAGTTCATCCGTCCTCTGATTCCAGAACGCACCTTGACCTTGACTCTGTCAGTTCTGTGAGACCCTTTGCAAGACTCCCCTCCCTGAGGGTGGGTCTGCCTCAAATCTGGGGCATGTCAGGGCACTCAATGGCCAGTGGTAAGAGGGACCGAAAAGGGGCAAGGGGGGTTAGCTTTTGGATTTTTGAAGCTGCTTCAGCATCATATATTCTCTTAGATCTCATGTTAGGGGGTTAGGGGCAAACTGCGGCATGAGGACTTTCAGGGTCTTGTTTTTCATTTCTGGTAGGGATCAATGGAAATGTTCTCAGGGACTAGAATTTACATCCTACACATGGCCGCCCTCCCCACAGTGGCAAGGTCAAGATCTCTGGAACCCGCTGTCTCCTTCCTTTCTCAGTCTGGACCATTTATCTGTTTTCCTGCCTCCTCAACCCTGGCCCCTGCCCCACTGGACATCAGGGTTTTCCTGACGCCTTACTGTGGCTGGCTGGGAAGGAAGGCAGGAAGCCCAAGTTCCTCAAGCTCAGCTGAAACCCGCTTGTCCCTGGGCTGCTGTGGATGTTTCGTGTCTTCTGTCTGAGCTCTCAGCTTTGCGTGCAGAATCCAGGGCTCCAGTGTCAGGTGGATGAGGCACTTTGTAATCTTTCAGCCTTTTCAGGCTTTGGCTACCTCTCTGCACAGGCCTTGGGGCTGCAGCGGGCCGGCCTCAGGCCAGCAGCCAACAGGCACCATCCTAGGGATGAAGGACACATGGAGACCCCAGGCAGGGCTTTGCCTCCAGGACCGTCCCACCAGGAACCCAACGGTCACCCAGCTCTACCCAACTCCACCTGCCTGAATCTCCTTCCTAGGGACCTTTGTCCAGCTCCTGCAGACCTCACCGGGTCACTTGGCCCGTGGATGAGACGCTGTGGCTTCAGGATTTTGGATTCCAACTGTTGCCTCCATCTTTTACCCTGTTGCTGTGAGTCCTTATCAGTGGGCCAGAAGAGCTGAGCTGGGCACCCAGGGGAGAGGTTCTAATGGGAGCTTAAAGTACCTGGCTTTCCTTCTTCTCCCCATCCACAGCGAGAAGCCAGGGAAATCCTGGCGTCTCCTGGAGTAAAATCAGACACGAGGAAGGGGCATCTGGACAAGGAAAGATCCCTAAGCATGTTGATGGGAGCAGTGAAGTCCTGTTTTGGCCTTCCTCGTGTGATAAGGGCACCATGGGATTCTGGATGCTGACCTTGCTCTGACCCTGACCAGCTGGGCTAAGGAGAAAACTAACATAGAAATAAAGAAAATGGGGTGGGGGGAGCACTTTCCTCAGTTTACACTCTAATCCTATGAGTTCTGAGAAATGTTGAGTTACTGTTACCCTGAAATTGCATCTTTTGTCCTTAGGGGTCCCCATCTGCCTGAGCTCCAAGCAACATGTCCATGTCTTCTAAAAAAGGCAGCAGGAGAGCGGGGCTCGTTATGGGATTACTTCCAGGATCTTCCTGTGTAGCTGGCGAGTGTGGAGGCTAACATTTGAATGTTAAATTAGAATGCAAGACAGCGATTTAATCCAGGAGTTAGCAGGGCTGCGAGAACTCTAAATACAGGGTTCAACAGATGTCTCGGGAGTTTGTAGAAAGTCTAATCCTCATCAGTCTTCCCCCTGAAGACTCTGGAAAGCTCGCAGAGGAAGGAGGTGTGTGTGTGTGGGGGGGGGCAGGTCTTGAGAACAGGCAGGACAGGGGTGAGGAGCAGAGTGGACAGGGGTCGGGCACGGGGTTGTCCATTTGTCTGAAGTTCAGGGTTCAGTGGGTGACTAGACCCTGCACAGAAGGGAGCACTCCCGCTGTGCCTGGGTACTTGAGAGCTGAGGGAAGAGAACCCCAGGATTGAGAGAACCAGGGCCCACGCAGCCCTCTGGAGCCAGGAGCATGGCGTCCACTCGGCGAGGATGACGTTTCAGGTGACAAAGGGGGATGCACGTGCGTACGTGTGCGTAAGTGTGTATGTGTGTGCAAGTGTCTCCCAGGGGAATGGCTGTGGTAGTAATGGGCGGGCATCTGGCATGTGGAAACACCCGATCAGCGCCGTCCTTTCCTGGCCTTGTCCTCCGCCCCCTGCCGCCTGCCCTCAGGCTGTTTCCCAGCTGCCCCCACTGGACAGGAACAGCAGGAGGGGCAGGAGCCTGGCTCCACCCCACACGTGGCTGTGTTCATTCATTCGGCGTGAGCTGCACGCCTGTGCCTGGTGCCGACAGGTGTGTGTGGCACACTCCCAGTGAGGAAGAGAGGCAGGTAGGCGCCGTCTCAGCAAGGTAGAGGGTGTTAGGTGATGAAGAGGTTGGTGCTGCTCTAACCCCGAGGGGGATGCCTCGTTCACTCCCTCTTGCTCTGCCCACTCGGGCTTACCCATCTCACCCTGGGCCAGACTCAGCCCCTGCCCCCAGGGGTGTGAGCTAAGCCTCGGTGTGTCTGTGTGATGTCCACCTCTGACCGAATGTGAGGGCCAGGGGCCTTCCTGGTGGCGCGGGGGTAAAGTCTCAGCGGTATGAGGCTATCGCCTGATAGCCTTCAATACCCAGCCCCAGAGGTGACCCACAGGGCGCGGCAGACCTCTCCTGTCTCGCCTGCTGCCCCTCAGCAGCGTCTTCGTCGAGCTGCCTGTTCTGCTCCCCACTCTGTCTCTGGTGGATCCTCTCACTCCTCCCCTCATTCCTACCCTACACCCCAGTTCTTATACACATAATAAATTGCTTTAAAATCTTTTAAAAAACTCAAATAAACAAATGTGAAGGCCGTCCTGGGAGGTGGGGTGGCCTTGAGGGTCTGAGTTTCCACAGACATGTTTGTCTAAGCGCCCTGGAGACCACTTCAGGGCCCAGAGGCAGAGCCAGAGGGAGGGTGGCCTAGGGGCCTGTGGCCTCTCAGAACTCCAGTGGGGGGACTGGCCATTCACCCACCTCCCTCCTCTGTGGAGAGCCACATCTAGCGGCTGCCCTCCTCCCCTGCACTTGCTCTGTCCCTTGAGCGAGCTGCCCTGTGACGGATGGGAACACATTGGTGCCAAGCACAAGCTGCTTTGTGCTCCTCCACCAGTGGCCATCCGTCAGCCCCCACCTGACAGCAGGGTGTCCGGCCTAATCCCACCCCTGCTGGCTGGGGCACACTGAGCCCCCAGCCTGAGCAGCCTCCCCTACAGCAGTCCTGCTCACTCCAGAGGAAGCTGCATCCCCGCTGCTGCTGGAGTTCCATGGCCCTGTCTGTTTGCCAACCCCACTGCCTCAACATGACACCAGCCATTTGCATGCTGGGCTGGTGTTATTTGCATGGTAGTGGTTGAATTTCAGAAGGCTCAGAAACCCCCTCACTCCCCTCTGCTGTGCACCCCCCCCACCCCGGTCCCAGCCCTCTGACTCCAGTCCCGCATGTCACAGGCTGGGCTGTCAGGTGGCGCAGTTAACATCAAAGCCAGTTTCCCAGCCCAGTCCTGTGTGTGTGGAACAGATGAGCAAGGAGAAGGGTCTGGAAAGTTGGGAACGTCTGGCTTCTCCAAACAGGCTCCACTTTTTGTTTTGCTAGGTTGGGTCTCTCCACATTATGGATGAGAACCAGGTGGGAGCCAGGACCACACGTGCGTTTCATGAGGACCAGGTGCATGGACACGCGTACATATCAGCATGACTTTTGTGGGCCAGTAGCTTTGTGCCCAGAGTTAGACTAGATCACAGAATCCTAGAGTGTCAGAGCCTGGGCCTCAGCCTTAGGGTCAGCTAGTCAATTCTCTGCCTCCTCTTCATACAGGGAAACCAAGGCCCAGAGAAGAGGAGAGAGTTGCCAGGCGTACAGAGTGTTCAGTGCCAGTGGGCCAAGGCTCTTGGCACTTGTGTGAGTTTGGGCCTTGAGGCTGAATCTAGGCACCTCCATGCCCTCCCTAAGCTACAGATGAAGCTGGCATGCCAGGCAGGTCCATGTGGGCCTGGGGTCACAGGTAGGAAGACAGTGAGAACAGCAGAGGTGTCCTAGTCTCAGGGAGACCTGGGAAGATGCTGGAGAGCGCGGGGGAGGCTGGAGGGCTGGAGACAGGAGAGGTTTGGAAGCAGATGGAAGACAGGCCTGAGGGGGTGGGGAGGGCCCCAGGCCTCCGGAGGCCACATGTTGTTTCCACTGAGGACCGAGCATCAGATGACCACTGGGAAATCCGTCTCTGCCTGGAATCTGGAGCTCAGAGCCAGGCTCATTCATCAAGAATCTCTGCCCTTGGGGTGGGGGAAGGTGTGGGCATGGGGGTGGGAGGGCTGGGTCCCTGGGGCATGGGAGTTATGGGGCCCAGAGTTGGTTTTAAAAATAACCAGACCAGGGCTCAGGAGAGTTTGTGGAGGCATGAAACTGGGGTGCTTTGAAAGTGGGAGTGAGGATTTCTTATGAGGAATCCAGGCTCCCCAAGAGCTGGGCCTTCGGCTCCTGGTTCAGACAGACACCATCAGGAAGCTAAGGGCAGGTGGAAGAGGGACCTGTGGATAGGGAGACACACTCCCTGTCACTTCTCTCTGGTTCTCAGTCTCCCCGCTTATAAGTCAGGGTGCTTGGCTGAATGA